AAATTTAATTCCATGCAGAACTCGGATTGATTTTCCCAATATGCATGCTCAAGATACTTAGCATGAAACATGTTCTGATGAGTGTCTACCAAGTTTGTTCAAATAAAAGCCCTGGGGTCAAAATTGGCCCCGCACCAGGGGGGCATTGATTTTCACTATATGCATATAGTAAAAACTTAAAAAATCTTCTTTTAAAGAACTCAAAGAGCTAGAGCTAAGATATTTAGCATCAAACATGTTCTAATAGGTGTCTACCAAGTTTGTTCAAATAAAAGCCCTGGGGTCAAAATTGGCCCCGCCCCGGGGTTCATTGATTTTCCTGATATGTGTATAGCAAAAACTTAAAATCTTCTTTGAAAAAACCCAAATACATGTAGCTAGAGTTTAGATATTAAGCATGAAACATCTTCTAGTAAGTGTCTACAAAGTTTGTTCAAATAAAAGCCCTGGGGTCAAAACTGGCCCCGCCCCAGGGGTGTCATTGTTATACCCCCGCACAACAAAGTTGTAAGGGGGGTATACTGGAATCAGCTTGTCCGGCCGTCCGGCTGTCCGTCGGTTTTTTCTTGTCCGCCCAATAACTTAAGATTCCTTTGACCCTTAGTCTTCATATTTGGCATGGAGGTTAGTCAAGATTAGTAGATGACCCCTATTGATTTTGAGGTCACTATGTCAAAGGTCAAGGTCACAGGGGCCTTGACTTCAAAAAGCTTGTCTGCCCAATAACGTAAGATTCCTTTGACCTACAGTCGTCATATTCGGCATGGAGGTTAGTCATGATAAATAGATGACCCCTATTGATTTGAGGTCAAAGGTCACAGGGCCTTGACTTCAAAAAAGCTTGTCTGCCCAATAACTTAAGATTCCTTTGACCTTAGTCTTCATATTTTGCATGGAGGTTAGTCATGATAAGTAGATGACCCCTATTTGATTTTGAGGTCACTAGGTAAAAGGTCAAGGTCACAGGGGCCTTGACTTCAAAAAGCTTGTCCGCCCAATAACTTAAGATTCCTTTGACCTACAGTCGTCATATTTGGCATGGAGGTAAGTCATGATAAGTAGATGACCCCTATTGATTTTGAGGTCACCAGGTCAAAGGTCAAGGTCACAGGGGCCTTGACTTCAAAAAGCTTGTCCGCCCAATAACTTAAGATTCCTTTGACCCACAGTCTTCATATTTGGCATGGAGGCTAGTCATGATAAGTAGATGACCCCTATTGACTTTGAGATCACCAGGTCAAAGGTCAAGGTCACAGGGGCCTTGACTTCAAAAAGCTTGTCCACCCTATAACTTAAGATTCCTTTGACCCACAGTCTTTATATTTGGCATGGAGGTAAGTCATGATTAGTAGATGGCCCCTATTGATTTTGAGGTCACCAGGTCAAAGGTCAAGGTCACAGGGACTTTGACTTCAAAAAGTTTGCCTGCCCAATAACTTAAGATTCCTTTGACCCACAGTCTTCATATTTGGCATGGATGTTGATCATGATTAGAAGTTGACCCCTTTTGATTTTGAGGTCACTGGATCAAAGGTCAAGGTCATAGGGACTTTGACTTCAAAAAGTTTGTCCACCCATTAACTTAAGATTCCTTTGACCCACAGTCTTCATATTTGGCATGGATGTTGATCATGACTGTAAGGTGACCCTTATTGATTTTTGAGGTCACTGGGTCAAAGGTCAAGGTCACAGGGACCTTGACAAAAAAAAGCTTTTCTTCTTAATGGCTAAAGAATGTCCTGTCCGCAATGTATTGATTTTGACATTTTCACATTTGAAACATGTAGAATACATAACTTAGCAATGCACTGGGTTAGTAACCTCAGATTTGGCAGGGAGGTTGTCCTTGAGCTCTAAATGGCCACTGTTGATTCTGACAAAGTAGTATGCGGGGGTATTCACGCCATGATAGTGGCAGTTCTAGTTTTTATTTATATGTGAATAGTAAAAACTTAAAAAAATCTTCTTTTAAAAAGCCCAGTGAGCTAGAGCTTAGATGTTTAGCATGAAACATCTTCTTATGGGTGTCTACCAAGTTTGTTCAAATAAAAGCCCTGGGGTCAAAATTGGCCCCGCCCCAGGGGGTCATTGATTTTCCCTATATATGCATATAGTAAAAACTTAAAAAATCTTCTTTTAAAGAACTCAAATAGTAAAGGTGTAACGGTTTACCGGTATACCAATATATTGCAATATGAAAAAATAAATTTCGTACCGTGGTACGGTTTTTGGAAAACCGGTATTTTATAAAAATCATAATTTTCAATTAATTGCCTTCTAATTTTGTACAAATTTCACATAAAATATTTAATTGGCAAATTTTGTTAGCGCCAACGTAAGATAAAAGTATCCGACAACTAGTACACTTAAAAGTCAATAAATGGCCGCATAATTTACATAAGCGGCCCAGATGTGAAAGGTCACACGCGACTAGTTTTGTTATCAAATTGTGTGACACTTTACTTTCTATTTATTCCTTACATTTTTAAGTTTCTACTAAAAATATATACATATAATAATATATAAATGTTACTCCATCTTTACATCAAAACATATACAAGAAAATACGTTTTGCAATATATTGCAATACGCTTCAGCAAAATGGCAATATATTGCAATACGGTTTTTGCTGTATTGTTACACCCCTATCAAATAGCTAGAGCTAAGATATTTAGCATCTGGGTGTCTACCAAGTTTGTTCAAATAAAAGCCCTGGGGTCAAAATTGGCCCCGCCCCGGGGGACATTGATTTTCCTTATATGTGTATAGCAAAAACTTAAAAAATCTTCTATGAAAAAACCCAAATAGCTAGAGTTAAGATATTAAGCATGAAACATCTTCTAGTGAGTGTCTACAAAGTTTGTACAAATAAAAGCCATGGGGTCAAAATTGGCCCAGCCCGGAGGGTCATTGATTTTCCTTATATGTGTATAGCAAAAACTTAAAATCTTCTTTGAAAAAACCCAAATAGCTAGAGTTTAGATATTAAGCATGAAACATCTTCTGGTAAGTGTCTGCAAAGTTTGTTCAAATAAAAGCCCAGGGGTCAAAACTGGCCCACCCCAGGGGTGTCATTGTTGTGTCGCCTCTACGGAGTAGTGGCGACATAAAGGGATCACTTCTCCGTCGTCTGTCCGTCTGTCTGTCTGTCCGTCCGTCACAAAACTTGTCCGGACTACCCCTCATAAACTACTGGTGCAATTTCATCCAAACTTTACAGGAATGATCAGTATCAAGTCTAGTTGTGCATATTGTCAGCATTTTCCGGTTCAATGATTTTTGTCAGAGTTATGGCCCTTTAATAATTTTTAATTTTAAAGTTTGTCCGGACTACTTCTCTTATACCACTAATGCAATTTCAATGAAACTTTACAGGATTGATCTGAAGCTCAAGTCCTTGCGCATATTGCAAGGGTTTTCCGGTTGAATGATTTTTGGCCGAGTTATGGCCCTTTGATAAAAGGTGTTTTTTTCTGTGTGTTGCCAGATACACAATAGCTTGTCCGGACTACTCCTCATAAACTATTGGTGCAATTTCATCCAAACTTTACAGGAATGATCAGTACCAAGTCTAGTTGTGCATATTGTCAGCATTTTCGGGTTCAATGATTTTTGTCAGAGTTATGGCCCTTTAATAATTTTTATTTTTAATGTTTGTCCGGACTAGTTCTCTTATACCATTTATGCAATTTCAATGAAACTTTACAGGATTGATCTGTAGCTCAAGTCCTTGCGCATATTGCACGGGTTTTCCGGTTGAATGATTTTTGGCTGAGTTATGGCCCTTTGATAAAAAGGTGTTTTTTTCTGTGTGTTGCCAGATACGCAAAAGCTTGTCCGGACTACTCCTCATAAGCTACTGGTGCAATTTTATCCAAACTTTACATGATTGATCAGTACCAAGTCTAGTTGTGCACTGTCCGTCTGTCTGTCCGTCTGTCACAAAATTTGTCCCAACATGAAATTGGCCATTATGAGGCGACACATGTTATTACTGATCGCTCTTGTTTTTAACTATATGTGTTTAGTAAAAACTTAAAAAAGTCTTCTTTTAAAAAGCCCAATGAGCTAGAGGCTCACATAATATAGTTTATTCAACTCGTGCAATAAATTCAGTAATGAACTTACACAAATTTAGTATTCTATTTATCACATACCCAAAATAAAGACCATTTAAAGTGAAATGAGAGTCATTTTTCATTGACACGCCTATAGTATAACGCTAACATTAAGCGCGCGCGTCTTTACACTATGTTTGTATTACGCTAATGACGTCACGTCAAAATATATGCACGGCCGTACCATATTTACGGAGTCGCAAAATCGGCATGGGTGTCTGATAAAAAACAAAATGTGACAATTCAGTGTTTCTTAGTTGTTTCAGTCCGTGTAGACAATTTTGCAAGCGCTTGACAATTTTCTTTAAAATATACTTAAAATAAAGAGAGAATAAGTCTAAAAAGAATGTCAAAAAGGGAGACACAGGCAAAATTTTCATTTCTTCGTTTTGAGTTTTTCATTCATCTTTCTGTAAATGTCCTCAAAATAAATAAGCTAAGCAATGTTAAGAACAAAACTTTTCTCCTTTTATCACATACCCATGCCGTTTTGGCGACTCCGCCTGTATGAAATTTTACAGCCGTAAAGAAGACGGAATTTTTTTTAATTTCAGCCCGTAAAAATAGAAGTACGTCTAAGACTGATTTCTTAAATTATAGTGCAGTTTACGCCCGGAAAACTGTTCTCTGCACGTAAACCAGCTGTAATTGGCACGGATTCCGGGCGTACAAATGGCACGTAATATTTAAATGACAAGGAATTTTTCATAGAAAATTACGCCCGTAAAGGACATAAAAAATTTTTTTACGGGCGTAAAAAACCCCAGATTATATGTGTATACTAAATTTACGCCCATAAATAAGTATGCCCCAAAATTACGCCTAAAAAACCTTTTGCAAAAAAAAAAAAAAAAAAAAAAAAAAAAAAAAAAGGTTAAAAGCTGACAAACACATATTTAAAGATTTCAAAATTGTATTTGTTTTAATGAAAGTTACCAGTATAGTAGAAACATGCATATTCATTTTGTAAAAAAAAATAGTTGTGTTAGTATGTACAAGCAATGACTAATGTTCAAGAGGTGAAACTATCCAGAGATTTTTTTTTTACTGTCTTTCAAATCACAGGTCACAAATTTCTTTTTATGTTCTCTCATTATTAACACTTATAAATCCGTTTAATATGAAACTGTCATTTCTTATTTTGCTTTCTAGCATACGCAATTCTCTCAGTTACTGCTGTATTTAGATCTTACTTCCAGCGGTTTTTCCTTCCTTCCGACTTGCACCAGGTAACCACATAATCTGTAAGAGAATAAAAAATTTATAAGTCATACCATATGAAAAGTAATCGCCTTACAGTACTCTGGATATGAGGGTCGTCCATGGTCGAGTGGTTAAGGTCATTGACTTCAAACCACTTGCCCCTCACCACTGTGGCTTCCAATCGTGAATGTCAGTGGTTCTACCCTGGTGAACGTCCTTGCCTGAAATAATTCATGGGAGGGCACCAGGGTTCCTCCTCCACCAGTAAAGATTATCGCCATATGACCTATACTGTTTCAGTGCAACTTAAACCCCAATCAAACAACTTGTATATGAATTTCAGACATATTTTTTAAGCAAATATAGAGGTGCAATATAAGATTTACTTCAGTATAATTGATAATTGGTCTAAAACCCAAAATACAGTAAAAATTAACAAAATTGTATGCAGCTTGACACACATTCTCTAACTAAAACACTTAAAAGGTAAGCAACGGAGGAAACAGATGACATTTAAAGCTGCATGCCTCCAGATGAGCAATTTTTTTAAAAATAAAATCAAACTTGAAATTAAAGAAAATTAAGAAAAGTAAAAATATTAAACAATATCAAGTAATAATTAACATCATTTATTTGGTTAATGACTGATTTTGCAGTACAATGTATTTATCACCATTATTTCTATTGCCTGACTGATGCAGCAAGGGCTATTTTTGCATATATTTAACGCTTTTTGGTTATTTGCGAGGATTGAAGTGCCATTTCTTTGTTCACTTCACAATCCGATTAAAAAAATATATTTTCAAAATTTTCATGAAAAGTTGCAAGAATCTGGAGGTATGCTGCTTTAAGGACAGGGCATAATGATTCCCATATGAAAATGAAGCTACTCCTCTCAATATTATCTTACATGGAATAATTCTGCAAACTAAATAACACATTATACACATTTGCTGCCAAGTGACCCAGTTTCAAAATATCATTTGAGATCTTTTCAGCAAAAGATTTGGCCACTTTTTCAAATAAAAAGTTTGATTTAGCATACCCTTTCATACTCTAGAAATTAATTTGGTAAAATGTATAGTGTTACCTTTTAAGACCTTGATCTTTGCTCGATCTAGAACTGGCCTGCTTAAATCTTCATCCTTTCTATTACCAATGCCTTGACCCCATGAAATGGCCATTTCATTCACTGAAAAGACAGTTCCTAATAAACGGTACATCAGGATGTACCCATCCTTTCCAGTTTTTGATTTTGCAGCATTGCAGGCTTTCCGCAATGAGACTTCTATCCACCATCAAGCTACTAGATTCCAAAAGCCGAACCTGTAATTGAAATGTATAGGAATACAGTTAATTCTATAGTTTAAGTCACTCACGGTAACAATTTAATAGCAAAAATATAAGCCGAAATGTTTGAATATGAAATTTAACATACACAGCCAAACTCATGAAAAAAATCCAAATCAGAATAAAGACTACCCTATGAATAAAGACCAGTCAAGAGGTTCATTATTCAATTCTGGAGGAAATAAGACCACCTTCATACAAAGCCCTCATTTGTTACAACATTGGTGTTTTCTCACCAGTATGACTGTACATGTTTATTTATTTATAATAAAAATTTTGGGTAAAAATGAAAGTAATTAATAGGTTATGACATTGGTGACATGGTAGTTAACTATTAGTCAGTAAAAATATTGAAACAGTTTGATTGCGGAACTGCAGTGAAAAAACAAGACCTGTTCCTAAGACAGAGTGCTTGTTTATGATTTAACTTGGGTGTGAAAACACGAACGCCCTTTGGAGTATATATTTCCAAATGTCAGGCTCAAGAGTATGCAAACTAAAAGCATTTTACTGTATAAATTATGTAGTCAATAAACTAACCATGTCTATTGGATCTGGCTGTTTTTGTTGCTTTTTCCTTGGTGATCGTCTAAGTTTCTGTTCATTTCCAGGCTGAAAGTAAGATAAAATGTGGAACAATTTCACAAAAAGATCAAATTTTCATGTATTTACATGTAATTCACTTGTACAATTGATTTTTACTGTAGCCTTTTTCTAACCAAACTTTGAAAGCTTGTTTTTCTTGCTACATAGCCATTTGTATCTAAAGATAGGCTTGACTGTATGCAATCATAAATTTTTAACTTTACAGAAACTAGACATTTCACTAAACATGTTTAATACATCTGGCAACAAGACTCTTTTGTTAGTTGACAACATTATGAGTAGTAAAAACAAGAGCTGTCACAGGAGACAGCAAAGCTTGACTAATAAATACTTGACGCAGTAAGGAAGAAAAATCAATTATCATATAAATATATTTCTTCTTATGAGAAGAAGTTATAGTTCTTAAATAATATGCAACATTTGTAACTTACTGATATACAATCGTATGATTTTGTGGCAGTATCTGGAATATGTCTAGGCTTAGCTGGAGTGCTGGTAGCTGTAGGATGTGGTTGCAAAAGATGGAAATGCTCAGTGCTCATTTCATTCAAGCATTGTTCAAGGTTACTGGTATCTGACTCCATCATATCGATGTATGATTGATTTGGGTCTGAATGGCCATCAATATCAAATGGTGAAGTGACTAAAACAATAAATGATATTTATAAAGATACTTGTTTGCAAGTTTCATCCAATCAAATTGAATCTATTACATTCAACTAGAACTCTGCGAGTTGGTTGTGTCGCCTTGTGAACAATATAGTTTAGGAGAAATGGTCAGGACAAAAATGAAATATCAAAATTCACAAAGGGCAATAACTCAAAAAAATAAGAAGTGCAGAGCAGCAGTTTCTGTTCACTGCACTTCTTATCAATAAGATATATCATTCCATGAAATAAAGTATGAAAATTAACAAAGGACAATAACTCAAAAAATAAGAAGTCCAGAGTACAGGTTCTTGGGCACTGCACTGCTTCTTAATGTGATCTATAATCCTATGAAGTTTCATGTCCATAGCTTTTATACTTTAGGAGAAATGGCCCGGACAAAAATAAAGAATGAAAATAAATTGATAATAAAAGTATAGAAAACTTAACCAAGATAACATAGTGAGGCTATGTTGAAAAGTTAGTAGCTTTTCCCTTTTTTGAAAAATAATAGCTAAAAGTTAAGAACTGACACCCTACACTTTCTAAGGTCTTACCTGGAAGCAAGGATAGTCACATCCTTCCGCATTATTTATATGCTGAAGCATATTCTGCACAAAGGCAATGAATTCTGGGTTACATATGGACAGTAACGTCTGCAGATCCACAGGAGAAGGAGCTGTAATATCAATTATGTACATCCTTTTAGTTATTCAATCAACATCCTTAACAAACTATATTACCATTTTATTAATGTAAAAGTAAAAGTACTAGAATTTAGTATTAAGGATAATTGTTAGCTTTGAGTGAATATGCTAAATATCACGTTAAGATGGGAGAAAACTGAAATATGTTTATGAGCAAAACAAATTTTCAAATAAGTCTTTAAAGTATAATACATTTATGCCTTATAAGTATAATAAGAGCAAGTTGGAAATTTGGAAAAACCTGAAAACCTTTATTCATTATATCATTTTCATACATAATCTAATAGAAAAACATGATGAAATTTGTCACAAAAAACCTGAGCTTTAGGCATATGCCTGAAAACTTGCCCCCATGTTATTGTTGCTCAGGAAAAAGTCACGTACATCATATTACATGTAAGGAATTGACTTGTAGTCATGATTATAGTCAACATTAACTTAATGATAAACAATGTTAGAGAAATCATGAAATTCGAATTGAGAAATATGCCATTTAGAAAAAAAAAACGCTACCAATTAACTTTTAAGTAAATTTGTATGAAGTTTAAATTGTTCCATTTGTTTATAAATGAAACACATTCAATTCCACTACTGAGCTTTCTCAGTTTTGCAAACAAATAATTACCTGTTATTCTTGAATCTGTTGTATGGCCACCAACGGCCCTCATTGCAGTCTGACATGCCTGCCATGTATTGCTTAGAGACATATTAGGTTCATCAATAGTACATGTGTTTTCGTTAGGTTCTCTTAAAACATGAACATTGTCAGCTGAGTAATTGAATGGATTGGTCACATTTATTGCAGCACAATCTTGCCTCTCACTAGTTCTGACTGGAGCTTCAGTGACAATTCTTTTGTCCAGGTCATGTACAACATTTTCTTCTGAATCCTGTTGTACATGATGTAAGGCAAGACTCTCCTCCATTTCCTCTTTCCCCATTGCATTCTGATGTTTCAACATGTTTTTTTCTGATTTCTGCTGATTTCTTATGACTTTGTTTTCTTGCGCAGATATGTAGTTGTCTGAGTTCAGTTTTTCTGTAATTGTGTTTGTGTCCTGTTGTCTTCCAACTGTCTTTAGTTGTTTTGGTAAAGTTTTTTGAGAGCCACTTTGCACTTCTATCATGTCTCGGTTGGCTGTTGCACTCTGCTCTTCAGATGACTTGGATTCATCTATGATGGCGTTGGCCCCGGGCAGCTGTTCTCCAGTAAATTAACTGTAAAGCTTAAATATTAATCTACTAGAATGTATATTTGGTGTTTCTGGCACTGTTTTTGGAACCTTAGGCAGCATTGCTTTAGACTTACTTTTCTTCATCTTTTCAGAACTAGGTTCATTTTCTTGCACCTCTGACTGATTTCTGAGACACAGTTTGAATGATTGTTTTAGGCAATTTTGTACTGATAGATTCACAATCTTGATGCTCAGTACTGGTTCCTTTTTGCTGTATTGCTTCAGATTTACTATTTTGTTTTTTCTTCTTTTTTGGACTCAGTTCATTCTCTTGCTGCTCACTGGCTAGCAGCCTTTCTGTTTTTGTTCCTTCTCTCTTAGCAGACTTCTTGGTTCCTGCTTGAAAATCAAATATTTCTTCAGGCACATCATGGCCTGCATGGACTTTCCCTTTGATAAGAGAAGAGTAGGCCTTGGTTGCAAATTTGACTAAACTTTGCTCTTCATCTGTAAATACAATCAATAAATTAAAAACCGATATCATCTTGCAGAAAATTCTTACTAAGTAAATCCAAACAAAACTTAAGGGTCATGTTAGCAATTAGTTGTTTCTTCATTAAATGATAAGATTATGGTAAACTTTAATCAAAATTTATTAATGACTAAAATTAATAAAGCTTTTGAATAGAAATTTGTTTGAATTGATATTTGAAATGATTGATCAAAACTGTTGAGGAACGAAATTAGGAGTGAAACATGTCTCAATGTGTTTTGGAGTGGAACAAATTCTCATTATTCTGCCAGTGTAAAATGTCAGTATCTTAAATAATTTTCAGTCAATCATTTGAAACATATTTTTGATGAAAGTTTCATATCAATTCTGTGTAAATAAAACCTAATAACAGTTGGCAATTTGGCATCTTTTACTACAAATACATTTTGAATAAGATAAATTAATATGCCTTCTATACCAAACATTCCAAAAGGAAGTGACCATAACATGCTAACCAAAAGTTCTAGCCATACGCGAGTCATGTACGGCTAGCCTGAGGACACCCTGTTTAATGTCTAGCGGTACAGTACTTTTTAAAATTATATGAAAGTCAAAAAATGCAAAAAGAAAAGTATACAGAAATAAAAGCGTTGTTATCTTGATAAATTGATGTCAAAGTTACAATTGAAGCATTATACAAAGTACAAATTGTATATCACAGTGTATGCAAAGTTATATTTATGATTAAATAATTAATGATAAGTTTAAGTTAAAATTAACATCGTTGTTTTTTATGCTATGATTTGTTGTTTTATTTGTATGAAAGATCAATTGTATATTAAATCATTTTTTGTTAATATTATAAGCACATGGAATAAATAATCACAACACCAAGCTTGTTTCATCGGAGTGGAATAAAAAATAAATAGAACATTGATAAAAAAAATACGGTGAAAAGCAAAAACAATAACAAATTGTATCAATTTTATAAATGAGCCGCGTCATGACAAAACCAACATAATGGGTTCCCGATCAGCAATGATGCAGACCAGCCTTTGCATCACTGCGGATGCGCAGGCTGGTCTGGATCCATGCTGGTCGCAAACCCATTATGTTGGTTTTGTCATGTCGCGGCTCAAATGTAATTTTTAATAGATAAATATCGAACATAAAAGCACAATCAATACAATACAATACACTTTATTCCGCTTTAAACTTACAAAGTTTATAGCAATAACAACAACATAAATACAATCAATAAGTCTTAGATACAGGGACTGACAATTAATAGAATTTTAGAATGCGTTTCACGGAACATGATGGGCAAATTTCCTCTGTCAGTAATTGACGCAATTATCAGAGTCCAACAACAAAAAAGGATTATTTTAAATTAAATAATTATGTAAATGATTTCAATCCCTGTTATTCAACAGCAACTTAACTCGCCATCTGGAGACGACAACTATCAATATTCCTACTTTCTTTAGACAACGTGGCGATTCATTTCTAAAAAGTAAACATACGAAGAAATGTTCTTGGTTAAAATGCTCGTTTAAAGACATTAGATAACAAATGCATTTTTGACTTTCATATAATTTTGAAAAGTGACCTATAGCTAGCCTCACTGTCCTGGCTAGCCACCCATGACTCACGTACGGCTAAAACTTTTGGCTAGCCATATGGGCCTGTATGGCTAAGCCACTTCCTTCCCAAAAAGTGATTTGTAACATTTCACTTGGTTCAGGAAAAGTTTCATCAAGTCTGACTGTCCGGTAGAAAGGATCCACTATTTTACACTCATTTTTTGGTCCAAAAAATACATAACTGGAAATGAAATAAATCAACCTATCCTCTGTTTTCCATCATAATTGTAACCTACCAGAAATACCATGTTTTACCAATCAGGAAAAAAAAACACAGAACACTTAAAGTTGCATCTTCTTTGAAAAAAATGCATTGGCAAACATTTTTCTTGATCAGATTCTTATTTTACTGCTATAGTACTTTTAAGCAATCCTTTTCAAATGCAAGTGAGCGTGGTCAAGAATATTAACATCTAGAAACTTTTCAAAGGAGTAGTCACGTGATGAGGCACATTAGGGATATGCAATATTTAGTAGTCATTGATAATCATAGCACACATACTAAAATATTCAATGTACACATGTGTTAAGTAATCTGGTATTAATAGATCCAGCTTTAACGATAAACACATACCTTAGAAGATGCAAAATCAATGTACAAATAACTTAAGGGGGCAGGGGACCTAAAAATGAAAAATTTTGTATTTCAGAGTGACCAGAAACACAATTCCAAATATTTCAAAATCTGTTTCACAGGCAGATAACCAGTTGCACAGCATTATTCAATGATATATGACATACATTGAAGAAAATAATAGTTTGCATGCATTGCTCCTTCAAAAAATGACTGACAGCAATTTATATTTACCCCCACCCAGCCAACATCACACCTAAAATATACCAATATGGGCAATCTTCATGAAGGTGCAGCATACTCCAGAATCCGCTCGATTCCTTTAAAAATATCAGTAACACGCAGTGCAAGCTATAGCATTTTCAGAAATGACAAAGTGTCTGTCATACGTTTAGATTTTTCACAAAATTTATCTGAAATTTCTTACTTGTTTGGCGCCAACTGTCAAAGCTTGATTTTTAACTTTTTCACCTCCATTCGGAGAGTCAGAAATACATACAAAGCTACCAAAATGCTTAGTTTCGGGTAAAAACCCAAATATATATCTCATTTCCTACACACAAACAAGAAAGAATTACAATGACAGAGAAATATCAGAAGTTATCAGTACCTTCAAAACACCATGTCTGAGTTATTAAAAAATTTGACTGGGGCCATCATACGAATATGTCCCCTGCCCCCTTAAGATTTTTTATGTGATCCGCATTAAAGCGTTTCCTTTTATTTTCTTAAAGTATGGAGTATTTCGCATTAAACGTTAACTTCGAAAAGTGAATACTGCGGTTACTTTGTATTTAATCAAATATTTAAAAAAGACCCTATTTCAGGGGAAGTAACTAGTACAATGACCATGCCTGTTATATGATTTACTTAATATCAAGTGCCAGGAACCTGTGAGATGGTTATTTTTCTGTATTCCACCTTCATTTAAATACCATAAAGTATTTTCAGAGTATTTAAAGTCTTTTGGAAGGAGATTATAGCAAGAAAAACAATATTACAGCCACATTTAATGTCCCAAAATGAATTTTACAGGAAACCAGACCCCATTTATTCTGGCATACGCCTGAAAGTGCAGTAAAGATACCACTGTTGACTTATATGACATTATATACATTTGTAACAATTAAAAGTGCTCAATTATGCATTATTATGTCAATTTGCACAATATAAAACTGTTAAATCTGGATAAATGTGCACATTCTGTGAAGTACAGTGTTTGCCAAAATTCCAAATTTTTATTACCTCCCTTGACTTTACAGTCTACTTACTCTACATAACTTGATAAATCCTACCAGTCACTTCAAATTTTGACTAACAAATGTAGAAGGAATGTTTATGGGCACATTTGGGTCAATTCCAACACATTTTATAAATTTGAAAATTTCCTTAAGATTTTTTATGTGATCCGCATTAAAGCGTTTCCTTTTATTTTCTTAAAGTATGGAGTATTTCGCATAAAACGTTAACTTCGAAAAGTGAATACTGCGGTTACTTTGTATTTAATCAAATATTTAAAAAAGACCCTATTTCAGGGGAAGTAACTAGTACAATGACCATGCCTGTTATATGATTTACTTAATATCAAGTGCCAGGAACCTGTGAGATGGTTATTTTTCTGTATTCCACCTTCATTTAAATACCATAAAGTATTTTCAGAGTATTTAAAGTCTTTTGGAAGGAGATTATAGCAAGAAAAACAATATTACAGCCACATTTAATGTCCCAAAATGAATTTTACAGGAAACCAGACCCCATTTATTCTGGCATACGCCTGAAAGTGCAGTAAAGATACCACTGTTGACTTATATAACATTATATACATTTGTAACAATTAAAAGTGCTCAATTATGCATTATTATGTCAATTTGCACAATATACGAGGGATGTCCGGAAAGTTCATATACTTCTTCATTTTTTATACCATAACAATACATATGTTGTACAAATTTTGTCAGCACAATTATACATATCTAGCTAACAAATTTATAAAAGATTACTGAACTGTGAGTTACATTTGAATTTTAACAGTAGTTACATACAACATATATACATCGTCATGGAGCACTTTGACAACGTCAACGGCATCAAATTAACTTCAAGTTTACAGATTATTCAATTTCTTCCGTTTTCAACAGCCATGGTACCTGTATGGCGTATACTTAATACATGTTTGTTTCTTTGCCATTACTTTATGAATTTCATATACTAAAATTAATTTAAAAACAAAAATGTCACTGGTTCCCATACAGTGTGTGTGAGATGTCTGTCTTTTCCAAAGAATTTCATAACGCAATCTACGATATTTTGGCCATGCTACTTATGGTCGTCTGGAGCGCTCTTTTACCTAATTCTGTCATTACCGCTTCTTAATCTTGTTTGACATTTAAACACAAGTTGTCTTGAACAATTTATGGCTGAATTTGTTTTTAAAGTAAAGGCTAAAATCTCAGTTGGTCCCATATTAGAGTTGCTATGAAGTTAAATAACATTACTTTGCTCCGTCCTTGAATTTGACGTCATTTTGCAACACAACATTTACGCACCTTCATTGCCTAAAACCAAATTGTTTATTTACGTATGACGTCATAATTTTCACAAAATATCATGCAATTGTATCATTTGATGTCGCAAAATTAAAACGAGAAATTGCGTAAAAAATACATCTTTTAGCAACTTATTATTCAAGTAGCTATCGTCATTAAATCAAAGTGCTCCGTGGTTCGTTGATCATGTTGCCATGGTGATTGGCGCTTTGCGAATATTACTTTTATCATGTTTTTAAATTTAAAAATATGTAGCATATAAATACTTTAGCAAAATATTCAATAATCATATTGATATGACTGCTTATAATAATTTTAAAGCCTTGTCTACGAACTTTCCGGACAGCCCTCGTAAAACTGTTAAATCTGGATAAATGTACACATTCTGTGAAGTACAGTGTTTGCCAAAATTCCAAATTTTTATTACCTCCCTTGACTTTACAGTCTACTTACTCTACATAACTTGATAAATCCTACCAGTCACTTCAAATTTTGACTAACAAATGTAGAAGGAATGTTTATGGGCACATTTGGGTCAATTCCAACACATTTTATAAATTTGAAAATTTCCTTAAGGGGGCAGGGGACCTAAAAATGAAAAATTTTGTATTTCAGAGTGACCAGAAACACAATTCCAAATATTTCAAAATCTGTTTCACAGGCAGATAACCAGTTGCACAGCATTATTCAATGATATATGACATACATTGAAGAAAATAATAGTTTGCATGCATTGCTCCTTCAAAAAATGACTGACAGCAATTTATATTTACCCCCACCCAGCCAAAATCACACCTAAAATATACCAATATGGGCAATCTTCATGAAGGTGCAGCATACTCCAGAATCCGCCCGATTCCTTTAAAAATATCAGTAACACGCAGTGCAAGCTATGGCATTTTCAGAAATGACAAATAAAGTGTCTGTCATACGTTTAGATTTTTCACAAAATTTATCTGTTCAAATTTCTTACTTTTTTGGCGCCATCTGTCAAAGCTTGATTTTTAACTTTTTCACCTCCATTCGGAGAGTCAGAAATACATACAAAGCTACCAAAATGCTTAGTTTCGGGTAAAAACCCAAAAATATATCTCATTTCCTACACACAAACAAGAAAGAATTACAATGACAGAGAAATATCAGAAGTTATCAGTACCTTCAAAACACCATGTCTGAGTTATTAAAAAATTTGACCGGGGCCATCATTCGAATATGTCCCCTGCCCCCTTAAGATTTTTTATGTGATCCGCATTAAAGCGTTTCCTTTTATTTTCTTAAAATATGGAGTATTTCGCATTAAACGTTAACTTCGAAAAGTGAATACTGCGGTTACTTTGTATTTAATCAAATATTTAAAAAAGACCCTATTTCAGGGGAAGTAACTAGTACAATGACCATGCCTGTTATATGATTTACTTAATATCAAGTGCCAGGAACCTGTGAGATGGTTATTTTTCTGTATTCCACCTTCATTTAAATACCATAAAGTATTTTCAGAGTATTTAAAGTCTTTTGGAAGGAGATTATAGCAAGAAAAACAATATTACAGCCACATTTAATGTCCCAAAATGAATTTTACAGGAAACCAGACCCCATTTATTCTGGCATACGCCTGAAAGTGCAGTAAAGATACCACTGTTGACTTATATGACATTATATACATTTGTAACAATTAAAAGTGTCAATTATGCATTATTATGTCAATTTGCACAATATAAAACTGTTAAATCTGGATAAATGTGCACATTCTGTGAAGTACAGTGTTTGCCAAAATTCCAAATTTTTATTACCTCCCTTGACTTTACAGTCTACTTACTCTACATAACTTGATAAATCCTACCAGTCACTTCAAATTTTGACTAACAAATGTAGAAGGAATGTTTATGGGCACATTTGGGTCAATTCCAACACATTTTATAAATTTGAAAATTTCCTTAAGATTTTTTATGTGATCCGCATTAAAGCGTTTCCTTTTATTTTCTTAAAGTATGGAGTATTTCGCATTAAACGTTAACTTCGAAAAGTGAATACTGCGGTTACTTTGTATTTAATCAAATATTTAAAAAAGACCCTATTTCAGGGGAAGTAACTAGTACAATGACCATGCCTGTTATATGATTTACTTAATATCAAGTGCCAGGAACCTGTGAGATGGTTATTTTTCTGTATTCCACCTTCATTTAAATACCATAAAGTATTTTCAGAGTATTTAAAGTCTTTTGGAAGGAGATTATAGCAAGAAAAACAATATTACAGCCACATTTAATGTCCCAAAATGAATTTTACAGGAAACCAGACCCCATTTATTCTGGCATACGCCTGAAAGTGCAGTAAAGATACCACTGTTGACTTATATGACATTATATACATTTGTAACAATTAAAAGTGCTCAATTATGCATTATTATGTCAATTTGCACAATATAAAACTGTTAAATCTGGATAAATGTGCACATTCTGTGAAGTACAGTGTTTGCCAAAATTCCAAATTTTTATTACCTCCCTTGACTTTACAGTCTACTTACTCTACATAACTTGATAAATCCTACCAGTCACTTCAAATTTTGACTAACAAATGTAGAAGGAATGTTTATGGGCACATTTGGGTCAATTCCAACACATTTTATAAATTTGAAAATTTCCTTAAGGGGGCAGGGGACCTAAAAATGAAAAATTTTGTATTTCAGTGTGACCAGAAACACAATTCCAAATATTTCAAAATATGTTTCACAGGCAGATAACCAGTTGCACAGCATTATTCAATGATATATGACATACATTGAAAAAAATAATAGTTTGCATGCATTGCTCCTTCAAAAAATGACTGACAGCAATTTATATTTACCCCCACCCAGCCAAAATCTCACCTAAAATACACCAATATGGGCAATCTCCATGAAGGTGCAGCATACTCCAGAATCCGCCCGATTCCTTTAAAAATATCAGTAACACGCAGTGCAAGCTATGGCATTTTCAGAAATGACAAATAAAGTGTCTGTCATACGTTTAGATTTTTCACAAAATTTATCTGAAATTTCTTACTTGTTTGGCGCCAACTGTCAAAGCTTGATTTTTAACTTTTTCACCTCCATTCGGAGAGTCAGAAATACATACAAAGCTACCAAAATGCTTAGTTTCGGGTAAAAACCCAAAAATATATCTCATTTCCTACACACAAACAAGAAAGAATTACAATGACAGAGAAATATCAGAAGTTATCAGTACCTTCAAAACACCATGTCTGAGTTATTAAAAAATTTGACCGGGGCCATCATACGAATATGTCCCCTGCCCCCTAAACTGTTATAATTATTATATACATGTACCTTTCGGTACCTCTTAGTAAAATCATCTTTCCTTGACCAGATGGTTGCACTTATGTTCAACATGTAAACATTCTCACACATAGCTGAGAGCTTATTTATATCGGTTATAAATCACAAAATGATTGGCCACTTGCTGGCATTTGATAATCTTCTCGATACGTTAAGTACTGTTACACATAACTTGAAAAAAAAATGCAAAAATTTTCTTAATACGTAAAACATTAGAAAATGGAAAGTCGCCGTAGAGGTCCGTATGGGAGATTATATATTGAACAGGAAAGTGGCCTACAAATATCAGACTATGACGAAATTTTATGTGATGATAGTTGTGATGTTTTACAATACAACGAGTTTGAACGGTTGCATAGTAAAAAAGCAAAAACAGACGGCGAAGGATCGTCTGCAATAACCAGTAGTGTTGTCTACGACAGATCACCTGCAATTCTTATCGGCGGTGTTGAGCATTTCGAAGAATATGTACAAGTCAAAGACAATGTAAGTTAGTTGCTAATTTTTGCATGATAAGAAATGATTAATTGAATGACCCTTATTAAATGTGATCTCATGCAGATCTTATCTCACTTATATGTTACCTATTATAATTAAATAATAAGCCTTAGCTTACATACTTGTGTTCTGATCTGGCTGAATTTGCATCACAAATTCAATAATTCTTGTGTGATCTGAGACTTATTAAAATAAAAAACCGCTAACCGATAGAAGCAAAATATATTTCAACAAGTTTTACGTATATTAATATGTATTTATAAAATTTTGTAAACACATACTGATTAACTTTACTCTATACTTAAGAGTTTAATTAAACATAAAATTTATTCGTCATATTTCACAGATCAATTTAAATTAAAAATAAAAAACACAACTCCATTTTGATATATATAGGTATAATATTGTATTAGATATTAATAGATATTAATATTAAGAGTCATATATTAATGAATTATGGTTAAAAGGGTAAACCAGGTTTTTATATTTTAATACAAATATGTAATATTTTTTTATCAATTTATTGATCGATTAATGTGTATTTAATTGGACAACGATGATAATAAACCAATATCTGTTCTGTGCTTCTATTTCCATTACATATGTTCGTCACATTTAAATGAGAATTAGGCAACAAAAAAGTCGTGATACGACTAAAATAATTGTCATATATATCTTCTCCAGATTTTAATGCGAAAATATGATTTTCAACATCATATTAATAATGTACAATGTTTAAAATCCTAAGAATTACAAAAGTTGTACGCCACATCCTCATCTGGAAACACTTACTTGCTGTGTTTACTTTTTACTGCAGACAAAAGCCGTACTATTATTTTTAATAATAGTATTGTATTGTAAATCTTTAGGTTTAGTTATTTTTTGTCATTTACTGTGGAGCATCAAACATTAATGTTAAGTATTGATGAGTTGTAAAACAAAAATTATCTGCTTATTTCAGGAAATTTCCATAAATGAAGAAGAAGCAGAAAGTGAATGTAATGAGAATGAAAGTAGCTCAACACAGCAAGACAGAATAGAAACTCCTGCTATTTTGGAGCCATCTGAAGCAGAATCAGACCAAATTGAAAGTTTACCAGTTGGTGAAGATGACACATTTGACTTATTTGAGTATGATTCTGATGTTGATCTACAGAACCAGGACACAGATGAAATTTTGGACACACATGATCCTGATTCTGAGCCATTATATCCTGGATCATCAGTGACATTGGGTGCATTAATGTTGTTATTGGCCTTGTTTGTTACAAAGCATAATATTGTTGGAGATGGGATACAGCAGTTGTTAAATATCCTTTCAATAGCACTGCCGAATGAACACACACTTTGCAGTAATTTACATGAATTCAAAGCATATTTTAAAAACTTAAAAAATCCTATCGTGAAACATTTTTAGCTCGACTTTTTTTATTTGAAAAAAAAATAGAGGTATTGTTATAGTCAGGTCGGCGTTCCCTTTGCTGTTGCCATTGCCGTCCGCAAACTTGTACCTGGATCAAAACTTTTTTATTTCTTGGTGTATTGTCTTCATACTTGGCCACAACAACCCTTGGGACAAGACCTTTCAGTAGACCACACTAACCTTGACCTTCATCCATAAATGACCTTGACCTTCAAGGTTAAAAGTCCAATTTTTGCTTGTTCATGCTGTTATTGGCTGTAACTTTGTTATTTTTGAATGGATTGTCTTCAAACTTGAACATAATAATCTTCAAGGATATCCCTTAAAAATAACCAGTCAGACCTTGACCTTCACTCATAAATGACTTTGACTTTGAAGGTCAAATTATTGAAATTTTCATTTTTTTGGCTATTATTGGCTGTAACTTTGTTATTTTTGAATGGATTGTCTTTAAACTTGAACATAATAATCTTCAAAGATAACTGTTAAAAATATACCGAAAGACCTTGACCTTCATTCATTAATGACATTGTCTTTGAAGGTCAAATTATTGAAATTTTCATTGTTTTGGCAGTAACTGACTGTAACTTTGCTATTATTGAAGGTGTCGTATGAGATTTGCAAGTACCATGAGATATGCAAGTTCCGTTTCCGGTTTCAAAATGACTTGCCGATTTCATGTTGGGGTTCATGAGACTCGCAAGTCATGAGAACTGCAAGTTTACTGTTAATGATAAAATTGCAGACTTAAAATTATCAATTAATAACACAGATCAGTATATGATGTTAAGAGCTACTTCTGTGATAACATAATTTTATCATATTTGATAATAAATAAGAAAAATAGTGGTGGACAGGTGGGTGGGGATTGAATATAGCGATCATTATGAGAAAATGTAAACATTATAAAATTATATTCTTTAAAAGGTTTTGTTTCATCATAAGGCTTTGTTTCATCATTAATCAAGAAAGTGCAATCTGTTAAGGACATATAATAATAAGTATCCACTATCAAATGGACCGTTGACAATTTGGACCATAACAAATTATATTTGTATGGGTAACAAGGCAATTCAGTCCCCAGAAACTCCCCCCCCCCCCCCCCTTAAATTTTTTTTGTAAAGTGAATATTTTTATTATCGCAATCAACTGCAGTGCAGCATCATTGTCTGACATAATTATCCAGTATTTAATACAAAGGTCATCTAAGGGGTCGATCATAGCCTGCCTTGCTCTATATATAATGTAATAAAAGGCAAAAAAAACCCCACTTATCCAGAAATCAGGGTCAACTCTAAAACAAATTTCGGCCCTTTACGAACTCGACCCATAATTATATATAAAAGGTAGTGGTTAATTTTATTGCTTTTTATATATTTTCATAAAAATTTTCATTTTTTAAAATTTTCACGGTCACAGACCTCCACTCAAGGAAAATAATATGTTTTATTGATGAAAGTACTAATTTGTATGTGAATTTGTAGAGAAAGGAAGAATTTATGATTTATATACTTCAGAATATTTTTTGTAAAAAACATCATTTAAAAGTTAAGTAAACAATCTTTCTCCTAATAGTTTTTTTAATAGAGGGACCACTTGCCCCTCACCGCTGTGGGTTCGAATCCCGACAGGGATTTTGGATTCTTTCATGTGAGGAAGCTCTCCAGCAAGCTTACGGAACGTTGGTGGTTCTAATCAGGTGCCCGTTCGTGCCTGAAATAATGCATGGAAGGGCGCCTGAGGTCTTCCTCCACCAGTAAAGCTGGAACGCCGCGATAGACCTATACTGTGTCGATGTGACATAAAACCCAAAACAAACAATATTGTAATTTTACCTTTGACCTCTTGTGACCTTGACCTTCATTTTGCAAATGACAACTCCCCATTCTAAGTTATATTAAAATCCAGCCATGTATATAGAAGTTATACTCTCAAATGAATGTTTAATTTATTCAACCTTTGACCCTCAAGTAATACCTTGACCTTTGCCACAGAAGCCTGTATTTTTTGAGCGACCCTTTGCCTGAAGAAATTACACTCTGGACAATCATTTGCATCGTCCCCTCAAGTGTGACCTTAACCTTTGAAAAACAGACCTGGGTTTACCATGTGACACACCACTCATCATGGTGAAGTATTGTATCACACTATTTTGCAATGAACACACAGACAGACCTTTGCCACAGACACCTGAATGTTTCAGGGGACACTGTCTCAATAATATTATTTCTTAAGTTAGAAAAACCACATATAAGGTATTAAATGTATTTATTCTTCAAATAACTAACCTAACTTAAAGATATATTATGCTCAAATTTTATATTTGAAAACATTGATATTTATAACTATGGTTTATGTTTTTAATGTAGAGTTGTGTTTTATAAGTTTTGAGTGCACACTGGGACACTGCTACACAATTTATCACAGTCTAGATACATGGTGTAATTACAAAAACAACTTGCAGTTTTTTTTTAAGAAAGGTCAGTAACAGAGAATGCATATTCCAAAACATATTTAAATTAAGACAAATTTAGTTTGAATTCTCAACATTTAAAAAAAAAAAGTTCTGCAATAACAGTAGTTTTTCCCAAGATGAGCATAATATTTCTTATATTAATCCATTATACCAGCAAGGTATAAGTTGCATTTTTAGCACTTGCAAAAAGTCCAATAAAATATATCTATAACAGTGTACAACAGTAAATATACTAGAACTATGATTAAAGCAGCACGCCTCCAGATTTATGCTTATTTTCATGAAAATTTTGAAAATGTATTTGAATGTATAACATTGTGAAATAACCTTAAGGAAGCAATTTACACATTTTCAATGGCGCTTTATTACCTCATTAATTACCAAAAAGTGGTCAAATTATGCATAAATAGCTCTTATTGCGTTAGTAACGCAGTAGAAATATAGTTGTAAATACTGAAAAATCAGTCATTTATTGCAAATAACATGTAAAATATTACTTGAATCTTGAATCATTTTACTTTTCCTGAAATCTTAGTACATATTTTTCAAGTATGGTTATATTGAAATAATTTTACTCATCTGGAGGCATGCAGCTTTAAACCACACCATTATACTTAATGGGTAAGGTGTGTAACTTTTATTTCAAAAATACATAAAAATACACAAATTGTCCCGGGTGAATCGGTTAACATATTATAAAAGAGGTTTTAAATGATCAACTTCAAGGTGATAAAATTGGATGGACCCATTCAAGAACCTACAAACTTCTTGTCTTGGATATTTAGTGAAAATTTCAAAACTTCGTAAATTTCAAAAGGGCTATGAAGAAAAGCTTACATAATTACATAATGTTTCTTGCCCTGTGGAAAATGATCCTTAAAAGAGGTCTTTTAAGAGACCAAGATTTTTATGAATGGGTGGGGTGATTGGGTCAATTTTGATTCAAGGTAAATGCTGAACAAAACTGAGGATTAAGATATCAAAAATATTTTAGTTTTGAAATATTTAGAAAAATGTTATATAGTACAATACAAATAGAAGAACAAATTGCATTACCTAAAGACAAAATGGAATATCCTCTGTAACATAAGAATTGTCGTGTAAATCAAGAGTAAAATAATGCTAAAAAAACCTAATAATGCTAAAAAACCTATCTGTAAAGAAAACTAATAACATTTGTATTCATCACTATACAAAAAAGGGGACAAAAAGATTTTTAAGCATGAGAGAGCATGTGTGAGTGCTTGTGTATGTATGTGTATATGTGTGTGTGTGTGAGTGCGTGCATGTGTGTGTGTGCATTAGTGTGTGTGTTTACATTACTGTTTTAGAATTGAATAATTATTAAAATGGAATATATTATGTTGAATACATAGAGGATATTGAATGAGTGTTGGTTTATAACTAAATTTATTGAACGAGTTGAATAAAATCATATTATGCAAGCATCTGGTGAGCATAATATTGTTATATTCAATGAGTTCAATAAATTTAGTATTTGATCTACACAAATATAATATTCTATTTATCACATATATAAAATAAGAACGGTAAACTGTTAACAATAGTCATTTTCATTTGACACTCCTATAATGTAACGCTAACATTAGTGCGCCTTAACGCTATGTTTACACAAATGACGTCACATCAAAGTGTTATTACAATAGTGTAATAATGTCTAGTGTTATATCTTTTTTAGTATAAAAGGCTTTATTACACTCATGTGCAGCATTTTATGCGATATATGTAACAACAGTATGTTAACTGGAATGTTTGTAATTCATATATGAAAGAACATGATAAATGAAAAAAAAAAAAAAAAACAACTGAGGATTACCAATATATTTCGCCTATTAACCAGAAAGAGTATATGGTTTCAGATCCTGGATTACCCTTGAATCTGCATATTTGTTAATTATTGTATTTCAGTGTCCATCATTTATAAAAATGTAGCTAAAAGAGTAAAAAATATTGTATGTAATACCTTGACCCTTAAACAGCCTAATTTTCATGACAACACAAGGATGTTACTATTAAAGACAACTTTTATACAACTATTATAACTATTAAAGACAAATAAAGGAAACCAAAGTTTCTAGTTGGATGGCTAGTTTAAGAAGGTAATCAATAGGCCTCCAAAAATTTGAGAACCATCCGATGAATCATACCTCATACCAAATATGAAATTAAAAGTCAGTGAGGCAAATAGCCAGTGACACTGACCTAGACAAGAGTGGATTTTTCATTGGATCCATAGTTAACATGACCTGTCGGTGGACCAGTATTCCAATTTTTAAGTGATTAACTTGGAAAGTTGACTTTTTTTGAGAAATTGATCTTTTATAAGTTATCGAATGTGCCCCTTATGTAATGGTATAAAATCTAGATATATATTATAATAATTACCAAATGATCTAACCATGACATTTAACCAAAGTATTGCAGTATACATGTATATAGTAATGATTAAAGTAGTTCGGAATTTAAATATCTATGGAGCCATAGTTTTTAATTTCATATTCTCAGTAACATTAACCATACTGATTTGTATTGAAGTGAAGTTTCTGAACAAAATCATATGAGTTCCATGATAAAATATTTAATAATAATAAATAATTTAATGTTATCCATAGTTTAAGTTCTTAAACCAATTATCTAATCTTCATGTCATCAATTATGATAGGGAGCCAAAAATGTTTAAAAATCAATTGAATATGACACTTCACAAACATTAAGTAAAACACATTAACATTTTTATATACCTAATTATTGTCTGTCAATAATAAACTTAAATACAAAGTCTCCTCTGTATGTAAAGCACCACGCCTCCAGATTCAAGCTACTTTTAGAGAACATTTTGAAAATGTATTTAAATGTAAAATATTGTAAAGTGAACAAAGAAAATAATGTTCATATTTCAATCAGCACTTCAAATTAACAAAATATGAAAAAATAGTCCTTATTGCGTTAGTAACGCAGTATAAGATAAAAAATAATTCAAAATTAGTCATTAATTGCATACAGCATGTAAACTATTTCTTGAATTGTGAATACTTTTACTATTCTTAAAATCTAAGAACATTTTTCTTAAGGTTTATTTTCTTGAAATATTTTGGCTCATCTGGAGGCATGCAGCTTTAATTATATGCAGCCAAACAAAACACACACTCAAAATCGTCTTCGATGGCTGATTTTGTTGTGACTCCACAACATTTTGTGTGGAACCACCGTCCACAAACACAGCACTGTATCAAACGCAAGACTCCCTTTTTTCCCTTGCAGTCGGGCTGGTCACATCTCCTGTCATCTTTCGATACTCCTTTAAGTATTAGGGCAGATCGTACATATTTCCTATAATTTAGGCAATGTACCTGACGCATTATCTTAGGTGGCAGGTTATGTGCAATGCACTCTGCATTCTAAAATTTAAGAAAAATATTTTAGATAATAGATATCCAAGAGCAAAATGTATGTGCACTAAGAAATACTCTCATTAAGATTAAACATCCATCAAGCTATTTGTTGAACCTGACATTCCCCACAATTCCCAACAATTTAAAAATATAGCTTTTAATTCAATTATTTTAAAGCATACAATTTTCAGCTCAAATTATCGAATTGATTTGATTTACTTGTATCAGAAATGTTAATAATTTTAAAACTATTTGACAATGTAAATAATTTAAAAGTTAGATAGTTCAATTAAACCAACATAAAGAAAGGGGTGATAATTCTGCAAAAGCGCTTGGCTGATTGATTGATCTGCCTGTGGTGGTCAATAAATATTTTTAGTTTTAAGCATATACCTTTCAGACAAATAAAACATAATACAAGACGAGACACTGAATAGATTTTGTGTAAATCACTTCATTTATAATGTTTCTACGTATAATTTAATTACCATAAGTACAAAGACACCACAGGAATGGCCATCTATCTGTTTATTTGAAACTGAATCAATTGTCCCAGTTTTTCGTGTACCTCTGGGCAGGAATCCCTAATCTCCATATGCTTTCTGAAAGATAAAGGAAAAATGTATGAAATACATAACTTTTTGACTAATTCAACAAAAATATAACTTTGCTTTCTATGATTAGTAGGTCAGCCAATAATTTCTTTCAGTACCTGTTACTTTATCAGCAAGATATAACATACTTTAATTTCTAAGTTCTTAAGTTCTTTTTGTTACATATTTTGTCATATCTTGGAGGTTGACCTACCCTACCAGTCCTCCTGGATATGTAAACTATTACTGTTTACTGTCTTTACTACTCCCAAATGACAGAGAGCCATTTATTAAATCGAATGTCATGTGGTGGAGAAAATTTACACTCTCAAGAGGATTGAACTAGCTATCTCTGATAACTAATCCAATGCTGGCTGTAAGGTATCTTCTAAAGTGGTCATGGAAATGTCATTCAAAAAGTTTTCCTTCTTTAAGATCTGCATGCCTTCTTGTTCAGCAAAAAGGTTGTTTATAAACAAAAATCAATTGAATATCTGTTTGGAAGAAGTTGAGCTGTACATACCTCCATAAACTGATGAATTTCTCTGCATTTTTGCCATTCATAGAATCCAGTATTGTTACAGTTCTGTCCCTTGTGTAAAACCCCAGTAAAACCCAATGATTTCCATTGACATTTATCGGTAAGATAAGATGCTTGAACTTCAGAAACTGTACCTGAAATATTTAAGTAAAGCATAAACATTTTATTATGTTCAAAATTTCATTTATTTGTTTATCCAACCATATTTTTATACGGATTAGGCTATACTTCTATATTGATAAGGTAATTATAAACAGTGACTAGAGAAATCCAGAAGTTTCTGTATCAGTATTAAATTTTTACATCCATGTTAAAGGTAAATTATATTTTTTGGTAAATTTAAACTTATTTATTGAAGATTTTTAGTTTAACTTGTTGACCAGATATAGTTACAGTCAGCATGAGGCCTGTAAATCACTATTTTTTTTACTATACAGCCCCTTCTTAAAGATGGGGTATGTTATAGTATGTTATGGTAAAAATCTCAGATAACTTAAGGTAAAACAAGAGCCATCACCACAGGGACAACACTAAATAAGTATGAAAAACTCACTGAAGATTTAATACTGCAGTAATAGCACTTCTAGTGAATATAACAGTCTTTAATAGTCTTTAACAAATAGTAAATCAACTTTTATATTCAATCTTGATTCATAGTCAGTCAAGGTCATGTAGAGGTCAAGATCAAAATTTAATTAAATATCAGTTCGCATCAAGTGTTGTTCTGTCCAAGAATGAACCAAAGCCATATATGATAAGTTAGTACATTTCAATAATTTGTCCTTGATGGTAAAGCTCAACACAAGGTCAAGGTCATATGTTTGTCCTTTACAAGTCAGTTTTAAATTTGGCTTAATCTTCTTTTAGGTTTTGCCATCCAGATAGATTTGCTCAATTATAGAGACATTTAATTCAAAAATAACAAAGTTTTAGCCAATCATAGCAAATAATAAGCAAAATTCAATAATTTGACCTTTACTGTCATTGATGAAAGCTATTATCAATTGGGTCTTTATAAAAACCTTCTCCTCAGGATTGTTGCATCTATATTTGAAGACAATCCATTCACAAATAAAAATAATCATAGCAAATTGAAATTATTGGTCTTCAAAAGTATTTAATGGTATGTCTGAGTTGGAAGACAATCCTTTAACAAGTATCAAGTATCAAAGTTCAATTATGGAGTGAAGGTCAAGTTCAGTCTAGACAGCTTGAATGGCTTGTCCTAATTGTTGCTGTGTCCAAGTATGAAGGTAATCCATGAAGCATTAAAAAACAGTTTTTAAGATGACCTGACAACATGAACCTAGAATTACTTTTTTTCTTCTGAATAAAACTGACCATTTTTAGCTCGACTATACGAAGTATATGGAGAGCTGTCCTACTCGCCCCGGCGTCGGCGTCCGCGTCCAGATTTTAGATTAAAGTTTTGGTGCAGTAAAATATTTTTCACTATAACTTTGTCATTTCTTAAGGTATCAACTTCAAACTTCAAATATATCTTCCTTATCATCAACCACATCATATGTGACAAGGTTCATAACTCTAGCACCAATATTTTCAGATTTATCTCCCCTTGAACTTAGAATTTTCCTTAAAAAATACTATTTTTTACTGTTACTTCCTTATTTCTTAAGGGATCAACCTCATACTTCAAATATATGTACCTTATCATCATCCCCATCTTATGTGACAAGGTTCATAACTCTAGCACCAATAGTTTCAGATTTATCTCCCCTTGAACTTAGAATTTTCCTCAAAAAGTACTATTTCTTACTGTTTCTTCTTTATTTCTTAAGGGATCAACCTCATACTTCAAATGTATTTACGTTATCATCATCCCCATCTTATGTGACAAGGTTCATAACTCTAGCACCAATATTTTCAGATTTATCTCCCTTTGAACTTAGAATTTTCCATAAAAAATATTTTTTTTACTGTTATTTATTTATTTCTAAAGGGATCAACTTCATACTTCAAATATGTTTACGTTATCATCATCCACATCTTATGTGACAAGGTTCATAACTCTAGCACCAATATTACAAGAATTATCTCCCCATAAACTTAGATTTTTTTACTAGAAAAATGTTATTTTTTATTATAACTTTTTTATTTTTAAAGGTATCTACCTCAAATTTCAAATACTTATTCCTTATCAACAATTACATTTTATGTGACATTGTTCATAATTCTTGATGCAATATTTACAGATTTATCTCTCTTTGAACTTAGGATTTTCTTTAAGAAATATAATAGCTTCTTTTCTTTTTAAGGTATCTGCTTCAAACTTCAAATATATGTTTCTTATCATTACACAAATGTTGTGTGACAAGGTCCATAACTCTAGCATGACTATTTCTAGCATTATTCCCCTTGATCTTGGAATTTATGTTAACAAATATTATTTTTTTACTATAACTTAATACATAATTATACATAATTGATTTTCCTTTCATAGTTTTGTCCTCCTTACTGCGTCCTGTATTTCATTAGTCGAGCTTTGCTGTCTCCTGTGGCAGCTCTTGTTAAAATTATTATGACCAAGATTTGTATTTATGTAACAAGCTTCTGGACTTACAGCTTATGTCTGGACAATGAAATTATATTAATATTCAAAAGGGTTTATTATTTACCTTTTTAAATAGCCAATGGCCAAGGTTGCCATTCTCCCACAAAACCGCTGTGTAGGATGGGAACACAAATATGTCAGTTACATTCATCTGTGTTTTGAGCAATCCAAGAAATGCATTTATTATCTGCAAATGATATGTAAATAAACATAATATTAAACAAATATTCCACTGATATTGCCTTGTTTCAGGTTTAAAATGCTATTTGTACTTGAAAGGGAGATAACTCCCTGTAAATGGTTCTCATAACCTTTATTTCTACTTGACTTTATTTCACCAAACAATCAAAAGACAAATATATATATATATAGTCCAGACAAGTTTTGTGACAGACAGACAGACGACAGAAAAGTGATCCCAATATGTCACCATATATATATATATATATATATTTATTAATGCTTCTTTTATCATTTGCAATTGATTTTCATCTCTGCAAAAATGTACCTATGCTTGTCTAAATATATGTATAAAAGTAGCTTTAATCAAACATTATTGCTGTACTTGTTTTTGAGCTTTTGATTGATTAAAAGAAAGAATGACCTAATATTAGAGCAGAGCCTAGTACTGCCTTGAACTGTTACCCTCAAGCTAGCTATTATGGTCTGCACAAGCGGCCTTGGGTATTATTCTGTTAAGCTGAATCATTATCAAGTGTTGCTATAAAACATGAGTCAACAGTGATTTAAAGTACCTTATCATTTAGCCATTGTCCATCATCCAGTGTCTTGAGATCCTCCTCTTCAATGCACTCACCACCTACACAGAGCCTGGATTTCGGCAGATGAACAGTCTGGTCTGGCAATGGCATCAAATGGTTTGGTCGAGATACCAGTGTCTTGGCAATTGTTGCCACAGGTTCAAATAGCTCCATGGCTCTGCAGCATACAGCTGACAAAATCAAAGTCATTGTTGTCTTTTCTGATATAGTAGTTTCTAAGTGTCTTAGTTCTGGAAGTATCTGCGCAGCGAATAGGTCCATCTCTTCTTCAAAGTCTCTGGCAACCTGTTTGAAAGAGGAGAAACAGACAGCTGTTAGAATAGAAATTTCCAAATATTTATCACCAATGATATAAACAGTGGTTGACTTGAATGTTTAATAAGGTGGAATTGTCTTTTGACACACAGCAGTATTAGTAACAGTCTAAATATATTTTATATCTGGTCTGAAACAAGTAAAAATTCCCTTTGACCATCAAAATGCAATTGAATAAAATACTTGTCCTGTGATTGTCTGTATATTTATAAAAAATTAAATTATCCAATGATTATCTTTTTTAATTAAGCATTTCTGTTACTTCCGTGAACTTAAGCAACTATAGTTTCAGAATACATGTATGACACTAATGACTATCAACTGTTAAAAGTACTGAACATTTTTATATGAAATTTTATTTGACAAGATTATCTTGAGTGCTTTCATGAAAAATTATTATATTCTAAGTACAAGAGCAATCAGTGATCACATGTGTCGCCTCATGATGGCCAATTTCATGTTGGGACAAGTTTTGTGACAGACGGACTGACAGACGGACAGTGCACAACTAGACTAGGTACTGATCATTCCTGTAAAGTTTGGATAAAATTGCACCAGTAGTTCATGAGGAGTAGTCCAGACAAGCTTTTGTGTATCTGGCAACACACAGAAAAAAACACCTTTTTATCAAACGGCCATAACTCGGCCAAAAATCATTCAACTGGAAAACCCGTGCAATATGTGCAAGGACTTGAGCTACAGATCAATCCTGTAAAGTTTCATTGAAATTGCATTAGTGGTATAAGAGAAGTAGTCTGGATAAACTTTAAAAATAGAAATTATTAAAGGGCCATAACTCTGACAAAAAATCATTGAACCGGAAAATGCTGACAATATGCACAACTAGACTTGGTACAGATCATTCCTGTAAAGTTTGGATGAAATTGCACAAGTAGTTTATAGGAGTAGTCCGGACAAGTTTTGTGACAGACAGACAGATGGACAGACAGACGACAGAAAAGTGATCACAATATGTCACCACTACTCCGTAGAGGCGACACAAAAAACAAAAAATAATTTGAACTATGCCAAAATATTACTTTTTTCCTACCCCTTGAAAGGGGATAATAATTCCATGGCCAATAAGCATTTCCTATTTTTTTTTTTTTTGCAATAATTTTTCAATGTTTTTTTCCCTTTATATGAAGATAAAATTTATTTACTAGTTATGATAGTTTTTTTGAACAAGTAATAATGAGGCAATTAAGGCACTTTAACCCATCTCCTTGGCATAATTATAAGGATGACTTCTAGACCCTTGACTCTTAAACCCCTTTTTTACATGACTTCTCAACCCCCAGTAAGTAATACATTTAATCCTTGTAGAATGCCAGTAATCAGAGAATAAATTGAAGGCAAATATTTTGAATTTTCCTAAAAAGTTAGGTGCAAGACAATAATAAAGACAATAATGCTAGTTGTTGCATTGCATGTTTAAACATAATTACAAATTCTATAAATTTATGAAAATTTAGATATTCTTCCGTGTGAAACAAAAGGAATGTTTTATTGATAGTTTCCTTCTTTTGCAAGATTATAATTGAATTGACCTGTTTGTAGTTGGCAGTTGCTATTATCTCATTAAAAACGACTAATAGAAATTCATTTTAATTAATAAGAAAAAAAAACAACAAAAATTATAAAGCAACATATCCAATGTATATTTATAACCGAAATTTATGATATTATGTATACATTAAACATTTAGTTCTTAAATGTAATGCATGTGTGTCTATTTTTATTTAAGATTCTTGACTTGAAAAATAAATATAAATAAAGGTAGCCAATTTAAGGGGTCAAAGTGTCAGGGATTGAGATGTCTAGGGTTTGAGGTGTCAAGGAGTAGAAATGTTGTACAGTAACGAGAATTTTACATTTAACAATAAAATTCACTTTTTGACATTGACATTTGAATCTATCAGTTAAATAAAAAACAGGTAGTTATTATAAAAATAAAATCACAATACTCTTACCGCATGTAGTGAACTATAAACAGTAAAGATGATGAACACAAAATTTATTTAGTTCACAGATATGCATGCATAATAAAACTGACTATATGATAAATATAAGGACTTTGCTGAGGTTTTAAAATCATAAGAATTTTCCAGATTAATGCTCTATTTGATGTAGGTATAGACAAATAACTTGTGTGCAAAATCTCAGATCATATTTGAATTTGGCAAATGCATAAAAACTGAAAAAAAAATAATTTTCAGCCATTATAGTATACAGTGTTTGGAAGGCAACAGACTGTCGTTGACTTTTTCCCCAAATTTTTAAGGTATAACCATCCTAATGAATGACCTCCGCTTTGAAGAGTATTCAAATAGGCTAGTACTACTGTTAACTACATTGAAAATGATGGCCGTGGGTTCAATCCCCAGAAGTTTTCTTTCTTTTTTTCTTTTCACATTATTTATGTATCTCGCATGTCCAATTGGGAAAGAAAAAAGTGTTTGATTTTGATTTTTTAATTTATATAGGTATTTATTGGCTAAATTATGCTAAATCTCGTAACAAATATAGTGTTTTCAAAGTGTAATAAAATCAAAACTAGACGGTAAAAGTATTTCATATTTTACAAGATCAACCAATATACTTCTTTAAAACTTAGGGAAACTTAGAAAAAAGGCACTCATTTGGGTAAATTTTAAGGATTTTTTAAGTTAGGCTCCGTAAGTAGGAAAATGGTCAGACACAAGATAAAAATGGGTGGGGTAGGGTAACATTTTTACACAGATTTCATAAATTTAAAGTAGAAACCATAATTTTGCTTATGTGGATTGTTAGCTGAATGGTACATTTTGTTTCTTACCAAAAGTTAATGGGAAAGCATTTTTCATTAGAATGTTAATGCAGATAATTTAAAAGTTCCTCATTTCTAAAAAAGGGGCCCTCATAATATCCTAGCTTGAGTTCTGAAAAGTGGCGATCACTTGATTTCCTGATGGTAAACTTTGTTTAAATATTGCATACAGGTGTATTTTAAGGTATATATCTGACCTATGATGTCAATTTTTTAGTTCCTTATAGTGCCCATTAGGGTTGTAATACCTTAAACTCTTTTTAAGTCTTGAAGCCAAAGTTTTCAGAAGATTATCATTCATGAAAATACAAATGTTTTTTTGAACTTGCTTTTTTAACTTATGCTGTAATTCAATGATCTTACCTCTGACACAAAACTTTGTATTGGGCATTCTTTCAGCATCCTACTTAAATTTGACAGGCTTGTTGGTTTTGACAGGTCCATTTTTGCGACAATCTCAATCAGCTGTTTTAGAGACCCATGAGCTTTTATCTGTTGAAGATAGCTTTTAGTTTTCAGGTCCTTTGGGTTGATGTATGGTGTACTGCTCTTGTACCCAGATGTCGGCTGAGGCTCTTGTCCGGTTGATGTTGTGAAATCCTGGTCGTCTGTCTCTGGACTGATGAAAACCTTTAGTTGATCAACGTTGTATTTTTTTTTAAGTTCATCACCTGAGACGGTCTTTAAATTAGCCAGGTTTCCCTCAAACTTAGTCACTATGTAGGGGCCGGTATAATTTGGTTCCAAGTTGCCCTTTCTTTTCGTGATGGCCTTCCTGGTATTGTGAACTAACACTTTGTCACCAACTGAAATTTCTGTATACCGTTGCTTGGTGTTGCTTCGACTGTCACAATGAAGATTGCGAAAATTTGAAGCCCGCTAATATTTCTACACATACAGTATTTAGCTAGTCTTTACTCGATAATGTTTAGATTTTTTGACAGCTGTTATGTCATATTCACTGCTGTCGGGCATATAACTTAGTCTGTTACATAAACACTATAAAATCAATTTAAATGGGAGTAGGAATACTGGCATAAATTGAATTACTTTAGTTAGAAGACTGATGTTAAAATACAAGAAGTTGAATTTGAAAATACTGCAGGCCTGTTAAATGTGACCCATTATAATGCTAACATAAGTATAATGCTCTTAGGCCTTGATTTTTTAATAATATTTTAATGTAGAATTATAAGGCCCTGTATATGAAAAATGCTTTTTCAATGTGAAATTAACTTCAATTAACAATTGTAATTAGGACACTCATATTTTACATGTCGATCAGTCAGGCATCAAATTGTTATAAAAATCTCAAGTTCACAACATAACGGTAACATGCAAACATTCCTTAATTAATAAACCACACAAACCCAAACCATTTAAAAACAAAAAATCTTTAATGAAAAAATCAAATGAGGTAAATGGTGTTTGATTAACAAAGGGACACAACTACAGATGAAAGCTTTTACTACAACTGTAATAGCTTACTGTTAACATTTGTGTTTTTTTTTAAAGTTTTCTTTTAATTAAAATAAGAATTTATATTCACAATATAATACATGTTTTAATTACTAAATTGATTTAGAAACAAATAATGACAATAATTAATTGAACAGTAATTAAAAATAGTAAGCGTTAATTTTTTGTATCAGTGATGAATAGAAAATATTAAAACAAATAAAATATATAATAAACTTACGCTTTCAAGGTTTGGTTGGTCCTCTCATCTAGACCATTTGTTTGTGGATGGTATGCTGCTGTCACTTTATGCTTGATATTCCACTCCTGACAAAGTTGTTCATTTAGCTGCAAATAAAAATGCAGTATTGTTTATGCTGCTTGAAAACAATATCCTACAACATTCAACTGAATAAAACATGTTTGCATTATGAAATGAATTGATATTTTTAATCATAAATAATGGCATATTTACAATACAGTTTTAATGATGCAAAGCCAAGGACATCAAATATTATCAATCAGGAAATACCTATTATATATTACATATCTTAGACTGTTTTGAAAGTCCTTGCCACTTTAGCGGTAAAAAGAGTTGAAAGTACTGAAAAACAATCCATCAACAAGTCGTAATGTCCATGCTTTTAACAAAGACTTAATGTACTGTCTCAAAGACTCCATAGACTGAGGCATAGACCAAAAGTTTACAAGATAAAAAGTATGTTCTCCTGTACTAAGATCATTCTATCCAGATTTGGCAAGAATCCCTCATGTTGTTAACTTACATAAGGGAAACTGCTTGTTAAAAGCAGCATGCCCCAGATTCATGCTATTTTCAAGAAATTATAAAATGTATAAAGAAGTAAAATATCAAACAAAGAAAGTAATTTACACATTGCAAAATTAATGTCACTAAAAAAATCTTCAAAAAAATTAAAATTACCACCAAAAGGTCAGAATATGCATAAGACATTAGTCACCCCATAGAAATATGTTGATAGATACTAAAAAATCAGTCCTTAATTGCATATAACATGATAATTACTTATTAAATCAAGAATAGTTTTATTTTCTTTAAATCTATAAACGTTTACCCTTAAGTTGATATTTTGGCTCATGTTTAGGTATGCAGCTATAATATACTTGAAATAATTATAATAATTAGGCATTTTTGATCAAAGAAAGGCATTTCTTATACTGTCAAAGCAAAAAGTGACAGACTATAATATATACAATGCAATATTGTTACATTTCAATATCCAGTATGTTATGTATTGCTTCATTTCGTACAAGTCTGATGTCATGTAGTTATATCTAGCAATAATAATTATTTACAAATATCTAGACTTATAAGAAATTTTCTAGTTTTGTAAATTTAATAAGAGTAGAATAATTAAGAAACTGATGGATACTCTTAGAAAAAAATGTTATAAAATGTTCTGGATAGATCTTTATGTGGTATGTAAGGCAACATTTTCTGGCATCTTTAGGTTATCTTTTGTTACATTTATCAAATATTAAGATATCTCCAGGATCAACAAGCAATTATTATAGTATTGCAAGCAATCCATAAGTCCCCTACAGCAATATTCTGAAGGGCCAATTTGGCCATTCAATTATGCCATTGAATGAATGACATGAATGAACTTTTGAGTTTTTAGTTTGCCTATATCATAGTAATGTGTTAAGTTTCTCTGCCTATATAGTAAGGAAATAATGTTTATACAACAGATAATAAAAAGTTCCAACATCTCAGGAGGAATAGGCATAACTAATGATTCAACTTTTCTCTATTTAAGTAAAATTTGTTGATATAGTTCCAAGTTCTTTAAAAGTGGCTTACTTTTTTGTTACGCCTTGCTGGTAACAGTAATTTGACTAATTTCTTACATTACATGTAACATCAAACTTGAATCTTTTGTGTTTTACTTACATTGTTCAGAAATTCTTTTCCCTGATCTGTAAGAATCGCATTTACAGCACCATGCCTAGCAAACAGCTTCTGAAAACACTTGGCTACATCTGTTGCTTTTTTGGAGGCAATGGGAAATGCTTCAACCCATTTTGTATTGTAGTCAGTGGCAGTAAAAATGTATTTGAAGCCTTGACTAGTGGTTGTAAAGGGTCCTATTAAATCCACTCCAACCAGTTCAAATGGACTGGAAACCTACAAAGATGAAGTACATAGTCATAGTCAATCTGGAGAACAAAAAATAACCCTGTCTAAAGTTTGACTGCTGTTTTTGTCTCACTTGAAGTTGTATATTAGCCTTAACATTTAAGTATTCAAAATAATTGCATATATATATATATATATAATTATATATTAATATTGGTACTTCAAGACTCACAAACCAAAAAATAACCTTTTTGTTTAATTTTAAGATCAAAGAAATATTGTTACGAATCCCCTTGCTTGCTACGCAACTGCAATTGTACAGGGCGCAGTAATATATTGACAATTCACATTAATTTTTGTGAGTTTATTAATATTTAATTTAACTTTTTCAAGCGAAATAGAGTATTTATGGTGAAATAAATGTGAAATGGCATTGAAATAGCGGTCTTGTTTTTCACTGTTTTTGCTGTTTGGCGCTACATTGTGATGTCACGTAAACAACTCTTTCAATGTCAGTATGGCATTTAAATGACTGAATTGAAGATATTGGTGTTCACATTCATTTTCTTAGTTAGACTATTTTCTATCATTCTAGAATAGATTTCAAAACAAAATTTAACAAAAAGTTGTTTTTTATTCTATCAGATTTTTCAAACAAAATGGCGACAGAATTCCCTTAAAATAAGTATGAGTTTGACTCTGCCCACTTCGGTGAAATTCAACAAATTCTTTCAAGATTAAGTCATTTATTGTATTTCTAAATATTCTGGATTATTTGTGTATTTATTGTTATTTGTTTTTTGTTATATGTATTGTATTTATTAGCTGTATAATTGTTTTATAATCATTATAAACCATTTTTATTTAGATTTAACTAATATCAAACCATTGTCAAGGGTTTGTTTCTATCCAGTGTAGAATTTTGAAACTTACACATTAAGACCAAGTGTGATCCTGATCTGCCAAACCTGCTCTCTGTACATTTTCTCTAATAATTGTTAATATTTCAGCCAATTTCCTTCCATTGGTTCAATAGACACAAAAACTTGTCTTTATCAATAAAGTGATCCCCAGGGTGTGGCCAATTTACAGCTCATTATAAGTAATATTTCTGCTGAATAGTTTTCATTTCTTTCTATCAGTTCAAAAGATAGAGAGTGGACACGTTATTTTGAAATTTATTCAAAATGTCAGAAATTTAACATTTCTGACAACTAGTTTCAATTTCCTTCCACCAGTTCAAAAAATGCAATAATGACACAAATTTAGCCTGCTAAATGGCGGACAACTAGGTGTATAACAATATACACCAACAGTTACATTTTTTGGCTTATAGAAATACAAATATGATAGGACCCTTTAATACATGTACAAAAATATACCTTTATTTGTTGCAGTTCAGGTTTCTTTGCAGGCTTTAAAGGATCTGTTCTTTGACAAGCAACACATGAGCGCACCTGAAAAAAAGATTTGAAAATAATATTTCTGGTTTCATATTTATAAATAAAAAAATATGTGTATATGATTTTTGAAATGAATAAGATGTTTATTGTTTTCATTTAAATTTCCTTACTTACGAGAATATGTTGTGCTTGCTCATTGATAGGGAAATGCTTGCAGAGCCAATTGATTGTTGTTGTCATTGAATAAAATTTTGAAACAAAAATGTCTATTTAACAACACAACCATTTGAACCTCAAAGAAACATCTTCTTGTTTAAATATAGCATTGATGTCCTGTTCAAATAATGCAAGTTTGAGTAATGTTTTTTATCTAATGCCCTAGAAGCTCAGATTGGCCAAGAACAGGAACCATAATATTATCCTTTCTCTAAGAAAGCATGTTTCTTTAGAGTAAATAAGCATTAACAACCACTTTCTGACATTCTTAGTTTCCCCAATTAATTGAAAAAAAAACATCCAATGAATATGATCAGACACAACCATGAATTTATTAATTTTAATATTCAAGTATCACCTTGACTTTAGCAAGTATGAAACTTTGCAAATAATTATGTTCATATTGTATATATATATATACATATATGCATTATGAAAAGTTTGCTCAAATTTAACAGTTATTGTGAATACTAGCAATTGCCAACTTATACTGTTTTGTAAGTCACAAAATTGTTCCATGACCTGTACCTGTAAATTTGTAATTTTAAATTAGCAACATAACCCAATATTTTGTTGGCAGGGGAACACTAAACTTTTGTACTTTTTCTATTAGCAAACAAATAGTTTGTTCAAACAAATATTTAAATAGAACATTAAAGAAAAAAAATAAGGTTTTCTTTTTCCAAAGATTAAAGGGACTCCACTGAGGTTTTTTGATGTGAAGGGACTGAAAATACTTTTTCAAGATTTTTTTGTATAACTAGATGTATGTCTAGACAAATAACTCTAGTACTAAATTTCAGATCATTCACTCACTCCGTTGAAAACTGTTGCAATGTCTATCAATTGTTGTTTTGTTCAATGTCCAAAGTCATATAAAGGCAAAGGTCATATCTAAATAATTCAACATGTCTGTTTGGTCACAAGAGATGTTCTGTATGAAGTATGAATCAAATATGTACATAATTAATAAAATTATTGCTTTTGTCCAAGTATGAAGGACTTGCATTGATGAATTACCAAGTTACAGTCAATTATAGCAAAAATCAGTGAAAATCCAATAATTACACCACACAGTCATGGTCAATTACAGTTTTATATACATAAAGGTCTTATACTTAAGAATGTTTTCTCTTAAATGAAGTTAATCCATTTAATAATAACAAAGTTATAGCCAGTAATACAGCAAAAAAAGTAAATAACGATAAGCTATTTATGAGTGAAGGTGAAATTCTGTCTGGTTCACCTGAAGGGCTATTCTAGATGATAAGAAGATTTTAATGTTAAAGTTTTAAGACAATCCATTCAAAAGTAATTAAGTTATAGCAAAAATCAGCAAAAATTTCCTATAAAATTAAGGTCATTTATGAATCAAGTCAAGTTAAGTCTGATTTACTCAAAGGTCTGTTGTGGCAAAGTATGTAGACAACACACCAAGAACTTAAAAAGTTATGATCAAGCTAAAAAGTTTGACGACAGCAACGCTAAATAACTGTAACAATACTGCAAAAAAAGTTGAGCTAAAAGAAATCTCTCTCCCATACCAAACATTTCATAACTTAATTTACATACATAGACTTTCACATGTGCGTGAAGTTAGCCGGACAGCCGGAACTCATTTTCGTCTACTCCAGCTGTTCTGGCTACTCCGGCTAGCCGGAATCCGGTTATAATTGTATAGTCTAGTATATACCTGGCAGATTTGTAGTATTCATATTATTTATTTTGCTGTTAATGGTCACTGTTACTTAATTCAATGAAGTAATGTTATTAGTCCCCTACCGGTGTAACCGGAGGGGACTTTAGGTTTACCCTCCGTCCGTCTGTCCCTCCGTCTGTCAGTCCACAAAACTGGATCCCGCAATAACGCAAAAAGTACTGAAAATATTTTTATGAAACTTGATATATGGATAGATGGCAGTATGGAGATTATGCACGTCCTTTTCTTTTCTTCCTATGTTGAAAATTCTGGTTGCTATGGCAACAAATAGTCTGAAAATATGACAAATTTAACACATAAACTGGATCCAGTGATAACTCAAAAAGTACTGAAAATATTTTTATGAAACATGAAATATGGGTAGATGGCAGTCTGCAGATTATGCACATCTTTTTCTTTTCTTCCTATGTTGAAATTTCTGGTTGCTATGGCAACAAATGGCCTGGATTTCAAGATTTCTGATTTAATTTTTTCAGCTTTTTCTTTATAAGTTCTTTATTTCTTAAGGTGTTTACTTCAAACTTTAAATATAAGTTTCTGGTCATCAACCACATCATATGTGACAAGGTTTTCAACTCTAGCACAAAAATTATCAGTATTACCTCCCTTGAACTTAGAATTTTATGAAAAAAAAAGTTGTCTTTTTTAAATAACTTCTTTATTTCCTAATGTATCTACTTCAAACTTCATATATATGTTTCTTATTATCGCTCAACATTTTTGAGAAGGTTAAAAACTCTAGCAAGACTATTTCCAGAATTACGTCCCCCTTGAACTTAGATTTTTTTCGAGAAATTGGTATTTTTTACTCCAACTTCTTCATTCCTTATAGGATTTACTTTAAAATCCCACATCGTAATAATATGACAAGGTTGTATGAACATAATTGCCTTACTAGGCAGGGAAACTTAACACATTACTGTGAAATAGACAAACTTATAACTCAAAAGATTTAAGTTCATTCATGTCATTCATTCACTGGTAAAATTGAAATCAGAATGTTGCTGGGGTTCTAACCGGTAGGGGACTTATGGATTGCTTGCAATACTATGATAATTGCTTGTTCATCATGTGACTTCTGTTGTAATAGAATTGTCGTAACTAGTATGAATTATTTAGGATAATCATTTTGTGTATTATTCATGTTATGCCTTTGTGAATTAATAACGTGTCTGCCTGCTCTATTAAAACTGATTATTTCTTACTTTGAGTTTCTGGTTATGACATAATTCACCCAAATTTTTCGGTCCTGCCAAACCCTCTGGCGAGTGTTATTGACAGGAAATAAGTGCACGTCGACCCATGCGACCGTTAGTAAAAGAAAATTAAAAAAGTCCAGCATTGAGAAGTATTCTAGATAGTCAGCATTAAAATGTTAGGCCTAATAGAGAAGAAGACATTCACAAATAAATTTAGGACAAAATGGTGTAAAAGTTGGTCAGGGTGGTTCATTAATCATATAGAAATGACGTTGCTTATGGGGAGAAGATCCCTTGGCTTTATTAAAAGAAATGTTATTACTAAAAATGAGAAAGTGAAAGAACTAGCATATACAAGTCCCTGGTCCGGCCACAGGTTGAATATGCTTCAACAGTACTATTTGGTCTCCTTACACTAAAACCAATATTGACAAAGTTGAGATGATCCAGAGACGTGCAATAAGATGGGTTAAAAGGGATTACTCCCCTCACTCTAGCGTCACAGCCATGCAGGAAGAACTGGGCTGGCGATCCCTTGAACTTCGCAGATTCTGGACTGTAGACTGATAATGTTTTATAAGATATATATAGCATAACCTAGTTGGAATTAATCTCCCACCATATGTTAAAACCCCACATAGATTAACCAGACATATGCATCCCTTATCCCTACGCAAAATACAGGTATCCTTCGACTACCATAATTAAGTACTCTTTCTCCCCTCATAGCATTATACTATGGAATAAACTTCCAGTAACATTGCCACCCTGCCCAATTTGAGTCAGTTCAAACAGGCAGTAGTGGGTTAGCTGTGCTAGTCTTACTCCCAGTGTTTTTAAACTATTTTATCTCTTATCATCTTGTTTCACATTTATTATTAAATTTAACCATGACTAGAATACATTTTCAGTCTCACGTTCCAAGCACGTTAATGTTTGGACTTTTCTTTTTTACCTTTTACTAACAATCCAACGTGCACTAAATCCCTGCCTATAGCACTCGTAAGGGGAGTTGGCAGTATCCAGAGACCAGAGATAGATAGAAATATAATAGAAGTTCTTAGAGAATTCCGAGTTAGTTCATTGGGTAAACGGTAGAAAACTACATGTATATAAAATAGCTTTTAACAAATATAGAAAAGATGACTTTATAGCTCTGTGGCGAAGAATGCCAATAAAAGGCATGGGAAAGATACTTGTTTAAGAATTTAGTTTAAGTTTCATTTTGTGCTGAAATTTTAATTAATTATTATAATCGTTTGTTCAAAACACATTAGTTATGAAGTGTGACTTTTACTTCTAAAAATCATAATAATAAATTAGATTTGGTTAATTCTATGATACAAATCGGGGATATGATTTGTATTTTTAAATGAAGAAGACAAAACTTTGAATAAGCTTTTGTTTTAACCAAACGACAATTTAATTTTATCATAAAACATACGAAACAGTGAAATAACAAAGTTAATCAGCAAGTGTGCACGAATAAATAGAAGTTCTATGACTAATACATAACATAGTTAGAGAATGTTGTACTTATATTGCGACAAAAACAGCAGTTTCAAGTCATTAACAGATCATTTGAAATTGATAAGCTTTGGGTCAATATTCAATATAGCACTTTACGGGTTATTTTTCTCCAATAGGAGTCAGTTTTCTTTAAAAGTGGTATTGATGGCAAAGGTTATCCACTTGCGCTTTTGTATTTTACCATTCATTTCTATCGCGATTCTGAATTTATCGTTTCTCAAGAAACGTTAAATACGAAATTTGTATTTAACATGTATGTACGAATTTAAAATCTATATTCATATTTTGCTCCATAAACTCTTAACCTAATAATTGTTACTACATACTTTTCATACAAATTAAATTTCTATGATTTTGTGCAAGTAAGAAATTTGATTAATTGATAATTTAAATGTAAGACCCGGTCTGTTATACTTTTATCACGTCAGCAACGTTATGACGTAATCATAATTTAAATTTCTGAAATAAGTTAACGTGTCATAGAAACGACGTTCCGCAACATAAGATATTAACACGTAACGGTATGTAGATGCGTTTTATTATGCCACCGCAGCATCTGCGATGCGGTGGCATATAGCGATTCACCTGTGTGTGTGTGTGTTTGTGTGTGTGTTTGTGTGTGTGTTATATAGATTATATAGTGAACTTAAAAAATCTTCTTGTGAAAAACCACTAAACCAATTTCAACCAAACTTGGCAGGACTGTTCCTTGGGTGAATGGCTTCCAAAGTTGTTCAAAGAATTTCATTCCATGCAGAAATCTGGTTGCCATGGCAACTAAAAGGAATTATAAGAATAAATTTAAAAAATCTTCTTGTAAAGACCCAAAAGGCCTAGAGCTTAGATATTTTGCATAAGGCATTGTCTGGTAGACCTCTAACAAGATTGTTCAAATTATAGCCCTGGGGTCAAAATTGGCCCCGCCCCGGGGGTCATTGATTTTCACTATGTACATATAGTAAAATCTTAAAATACCTTCTTGTAAAAACCCAAAAGGATTAGAGCTTAGATATTTTACATAAGGCATCGTCTGGTAGACCCTTACCAAGATTGTTCAAATTATAGCCCTTGGGTCAAAATCGGCCTCGCCCCGGGGTCATTGATTTTCACTATAATTATGTACATATAGTAAAAACTTAAAACACCTCCTTTTAAAGACCCAAAAGGCCTAGAGCTTAGATATTTTGCAAAGGCATTGTCTGATAGACCTCTACCCAGATTGTTTAAATTATAGCCCTGGGGTCAAAATCGGCCCCGCCCCGGGGGTCATTGGTTTTCTTTATATGTATAATATAGTAAAAACCTATAGTAAAAACTTCAAAAAAAATTCTTCTAGCAATTGACAAATGCTAGAGGTTAGATATTTTGCATGAAACATTGTGTAGTAAACCTCTAGCAAGATTGTTCAAATTATAGCCCTTGGGTCAAAATTGCCCCCGCCCTGGGGGTCATTGATTTCAATATATACATATAGTAAAAAATAAAAAAATCTTATTGTCTGAAGGTACAAGGCTTTAGAGCTTTAATATTTGTTAAATAATATCATCTAAAGGTACTCTACAATAGTTATTCAAATTTTCCCTCTTTGTGTCAAAATTAGCCCAGTCCCCCGGGGGGCCATATGTTTTCCTTATCGGTATATAGTAAAAACTTAAAAAATCATCTTCTCTAATTTACAAAGGCTAGAGTTAAGATATTTTTGCATGAAACATTGTGTAGTGAACCTCTTGCAAATTGTTCAAATTATAGCCCTGGGATCAAAATTGATTCCGCCCCGGGGGTCATTGATTTTCATTATGTACATATAGTGAAAAAATAAAAAATATTTTTGTCTGAAGGTACAAGGCATAGAGCTTTGATGTTTGATATATAATATCATTTATAGGTCCTTCTACCAAAGTTGTTCAAATTTTTCCCTGGTGTCAAAATTGGCCCTGCCCCGGGGGCAGGTGTTTCTTCATTGTGTAAACATAGTAAAAACAGAAAAATAAAACATATGTTTTCTGAATGGAGAAAGCTATAGCTTAGATATTTGACTTGAAATGTTGTTTGGTGGACCTGTATCAAAATTGTTTTGAATTAAACCCTTGGGTCAAAATAATGCCTTGCCCAAGGGACAGTGACCTACTTTCTGTCCTTTGATGTACAGCAACGACCATTTTGACCATGTGCACAGTTTTAGTTGTAAAATTGAACTTTGATATCATGTGACCTAGATTTTGATGATGTGACCTACTTTCTTGTCCTTTGATGTACAGCTATGAAATTTGAACCATGCGGTGGCATAGCATTTTTCTCAAATGCAATCTTGTTATTATTACTATTATTATTATAATTTATAGTGTCTTTAACTATCATAAAATAGATTAAAAATGTTACAAATCTAATTTCAATAAAACAAATTTATTTTATATCTTTTGTGATATAAACTTAAACACAATTAATTCGATCTATATTCAAGTCTGCTTCCTCAAGACATGGTTATGACTCCAGTATGACTTGAACCCAGCAACTCTTGAAAGGTTTCGAAAAAGACACTGTCACAACATAATCGCCTACCATTCTCAAATTGTAGTTTTGAAAAAGTGGATATTTCTAATTAATCAAACATATTTATTGAGAGGTAAACTTATTGAATTTAAAAATCTTGTTACAGTGAATTATGAACAGATTATCTAGAAACGACTACAAAGCTTACCCAAGAATGAACAAAACACATAGAGGACAAGATTCGCAAAGAAAATCGGCAAATCGTAGGAAAGGTAAGATTAAAAAAATAATTCTCATAACTTTTAATATCTTCTTCTTCATTTGAATTTTGCTTGAATCAGAGAGAGTATTATAGTTGTAACTATTGAAAACAATAACTTGTTATGCTTGTTTATCACACTTGAGACCGTATCTACTTTGACATGAGGGTAATCTGGCCCTGTCTAGATTGCGTATCGAATGCTTAATTAGGAGAACTTTACGGTACTTTTGAAAGGAAACTTCAGCTAATGTTATACAATTTGGGAAAATTACAGCAATAATTTGTCTGGCAAGGTAATGTCATTATTGGAACTCAACTTTTCGGTTCCCTCCCATCATTGAGATACTCCAAATGGAACATAACACCATCTAGATATTCATATTCTTCATTTCCCTTATATTATCAGTTGATGATAAGACCTCACAGACGAAAAGGCGAAGTAAGAGCGCTTTACCACCACAGGGCCAGCGGCCGAGGTCGATGCCACAAAATCGTGGTCAAGTTAGACAGCGCAAAAGACGTGCAAATGGACATAATAGTTTTAAAGCTGAAATACGGAATCACTCTGCATATGGTAAATTAATTTTGAAACAAATTGTATAATTACTTATATTCATAACTACAGGTATTTGGAAAGTGAGGCATATAATGCCTTAGAAATCCATATTTTTTATTAATTGGAAATGTCAAACATGTGTTTAATTAATATTTTAATAATTAATGGATTTAAAGGATAGCAAAATGTAGGCAAAGTAGTATTTTGACTTCCATACAAAATATTCATTCACTTTGAGTATACCAATTGCCAACAAAGAAAAAGAAGTAAACGATAGTCCATCTATTTGGCAAATGAGTATTTGTTTGGAAACTGTAACGAGATACCAAAAATAAAAAGTTTTTTAGAAATAAAAATTATAGCATTTATGAGGCATAATGGACCTTTAAAAATAAGACGCTATTTTAAGACAACCTCTTGCATCTGGTATATATTATTTGTTTTAAAAAGAAAAGTGACTTAAATCAAACTTATCATTATTAAACTGTTTTGCAAAGTCAAGCATTGTAATGGTATTTTATTATCGAACCCGATTTTAAAGCTTTTACAAATGGACAAAGTTACAAGATAGATAAATATGTCATTTGTTACTGTGGTAATTCCTTGCAAGCAATGTATTTACGTATTTAGTATAATCACGCGCGGAGTAAAATCTAACGCTGGATTATGCTTTAATTGGTCTTTTATTTTGTTTATTTTTCCAGAGTTAAAGAGGTACCTTGACGAAAATTATGACTCCGTGCAACATACAAACATATATGAAAGAGAAATTCCCAAAGTACCCGCTTCTCAATGGAATGATACAAACGTGTCAAAGATGTTTTATCAAACTGCCAACCGAAGTTAACAAGAGCCACCGCCGGGCGGGGGCAACGCTCGACTTTTTACTTTTTCTATACGCAAACAGAGAAAGGCTTGAACATATCTTAACGTTTCCTTTTTATAAATTTAGTTGGTCTGTCTTGTCACATTAGTTTTGTTTATATATTTTGTATATATATATGAATAGAAACATTACGCAATTTCTATAAATAGCAACATTACGCAATTTCTAAAAATAGCAACATGACGCAATTTCTAAAAATAGAAACAATGACGCAATTTCTAAAAATAGAAACAATGACGCAATTTCTAAAAATAGCAACAATGACGCAATTTCTAAATAAAGCAACAATGACCCAATTTCTAAAAATAGCAACAATGACGCAATTTCTAAAAATAGCAACAATGACGCAATTTCTATAAATAGAAACATTACGCAATTCTTATTGTTGTTGTTGTCCCAGGTTTAAGAGTAAGAAAACTGTTTTACCAATGATTTTTTATATCTTGAATATTAAGGCATAAGCATGTCATAATTTACGGTGCAAATTTTGTAACAATAGATTGCATTTTTTTATTTTATGCTTTTCAGTGGATTACTGATTTATCCGTGAAAATTATATTTGATAATTTCACAGTGAAAATTATCAAAATATAATTTCAAACTTTTCAATGACGAAACTACTTTTTTAAGATTTTCCCCATGTGGTACCTCAATTTTATTTTTGCTGACTATTCCCACAATATCAGGCTGCTTAAAGAAAAGCAAACCTGAAATTGATAAATAACTTACATATCAAAATTAATAAAAAGAAGAACACTTACAGTATTTCACTTCTATTCATTCAAATTACCAATCACCAAATAGCGTCTCTTTAATTTTTTGTTTCATTTTTACAGTCTGAAAAATACATTCCTTCAACATGCAAAACTGCTCTTGATGACATTTGGGAATATTTAAGTATCCTTCGAGCAATAACTGACGTATGCTTTATGAAAACTTGAAAAGCAATGGCAACTTTCACTCGAAGAATATGTAAACAACCCAGCGTTCGTAAGGCTTCCAATTTCCTATCCACTTTTTTGAATGTTTACACATCTGTCAACACTTATTTATTGTCTGTTACAATCCTCAAATAAGTTTTCTTTCTTTTAAAAAGGTGTATGACTAACAAATGCAAATGATATCCCTCTGAAACAAACACAATTATTTTCCTCCAGGGAAGTACACAACTTTAAAAATGGCGGCCGTTTACATTTAACAAAGCCAGGTCTAATATAAATTCGCAGTCAATAACAGAAATATGGATGGATGGTTTGACTTTTTCTCCTACTAGAATTGTTTGTTTTTATTATTAAAACAAGCGATCACATATTTTTTTTAATAAAATGAATACTATCACTACCTTTTAACATTGATTGTGGAACTTATTTTCAGCCCATGACTTCTTGTATTTTAATGAGAAATTCGACTTTTTTGAGGCTCTCAATGGGGAAAACAGATTTTAATATTAACGTAAAATATTAAGGAAATTTCGTTTTAACCTGTTTTTAAG